TATCTTACCATAACCAGAAAGTAAAGAAAACAAAAAAATAAGTTGGCGAAATAATAAATAAATCATAAATAAATAAATAAAGTGAAATAAATAGGTAAATAAATAAACATCAAGTTAACATACTTGACCTGATAATTATAAAATTATTAAATCATCAATCATTAATATGAAGAGAATCTAAGCAGCAAGTATTAAGAAATTTTCAACAGGGGGGGAAAAAATGTTTGGTTTCTCAGGCTAATACAGAACACATAGTTTGTTTGTTTTTGTTTTTTTTTTTTCAAGTTTTTTTTTTTTCATATATATATAAAAAGATACTGCTTTCCCTGTCAGTTAATCCATGCTGTACTGACGCTGCCACAAAAACAGGTGGCGCTCTCCTTTTTAAAAATAAAAAAAGAAAGAAAAGAAAGGAAAAACAATACTACCTGTAAACAGCATTTTTCTCCTCCGGTTTTAAGGAATAGTACTGAGATTCCTCTTTTTGCGCCCTGTATGTTCAGTAAAGTCTACTCACAGACTCCGTACTGCTGTTTCTATGTTTTTGTATGCTTTTTGTGCTGAGAAACCAGAAAGTTTAACATCTTTATAAAGCGAAAACCCTTCCCCCCTCCCCACCCCACCCCTCACCCCTTGCCCCATTTCGAACCCCCTAAACCTATATGTACCCAAAGAAAGGTCCTGTGCTGATTTTCCATAATATACAGATTTCATATTTATAATAAGCTACTATCCTTAGCATTCAAACCATAGTTAAAGAATCATATTGTTAATACGAGTAGTACCATAATCATAATCTTTAACCCTCCCGGCCCCCCATTGAGCATGCTCAGAGATTGAAAGGGCACCATGGTAGCATGACAAACATGTAAAAAAAAAAAAAAAAATGGATGTAAGAGTGAAAATAATGTTGACTTTAGCTCAACCACACGCTGCTCAACACAACAGGGTCCATTTCTGCCATTTTCTTTCCTTTTCAGTAAATCAAAAACAGCTCATTGAATTATTTCAGCATTTCATCACCAGTTTTTTTCTTATCATAGATATGTAGGTATATGCACCACATATACAACTGCAAACTCAATCAGGCTGTCTCCGCCCATAAAGCTTCACCGTCCTAATTGCATTCGATCAAATTTGTTTTTTTTTTTGTTTTTTTAGGGGGGGAAGGGGAGAATAAAATGAACTTTCAAACTCATTACATTTCAGCCACAGCTGGCATCTTTAATTTGCATTACCCAAGCTGTTGTGAAGGCCAAATTTAATTTGATTTTAATAATTTAGAAAAAAAAAGAAGAAGAAGAAGAAAAAGCTCCCCTGGTAGAAATCCCATAAGAAAAGATTTTTTGACTGGGTTTATAAGGCCCTCCATGGCCTGGGGAAAGGAGGGCATATATCGCAGCTTCCTAAAGCTGCTTGGCCCCTGACAGAAGAGAGAAATCTAAGAGTAACTCGCTAGGGGAAAGAAGCTGTCTTCTGGCGAATATATAAGAAATCTAACCTTTTCACTGGAAATTTATATTGTATATCATTACAGCCCGAAACTGACCCTCTTCCTACGACGTTCTACTTGTATCACAAAATGAAATATTTGACTTCATAAGACTGGATTCTTAAGGAAATCTGGCACACATTTGAAGTCTGATGAGGAAATGCAGTGGATATGCTTGCATAATTTGGCAATTCATGATGAGAAAAGGCATTTTTAAACATTTCTTCTCGCAGCGTCTGAATGCTGCTGACGACAGAACAACATACAGTGAATGAGGGTAACATTTAGACCTATTGAAAACTATGCACCTCATTTCTAATAATACTGATCCGGTAAACCAGCAGTCACACAAAAAATAATATAAAAAAAAAAAAGAATGGCTGAGCAAAAGTACCATTAAACAAAAGGTATACAGTCATCAGGATCTGGAGAGTCGTAGTGGAGGAAACGTTTGTTGTACCAGACTACAGAGGCAGAGTAGTCGTGCTATGTGAAGATTCTGCTTCTGGGGATGGGATAGCATTGTGTGATTCGATGTCTGAAGCACTGATGTGTCTAAAGTTCACAGCGATGATCAGAGCGCTGAGGTCTCACAGAGTCCTGAGGGGAAAGATGCTTCAGAGAGCAAACTGAGTCAATGAATGGCATTTTGAAAAAAAAAAAAAAACTAATTAAAACACAACAAATCAGAAATGATTTAAAAAATAAAGGTGATTCAGTAAAAAAAAAAAAAAGCATGAAAAAATGTATTTCATCTCGAAACGTGTGTCTCTTTGTAAAAAAAAAAAACATCCCTACAGATGACACTGGTTTAGTTCATTAATCACATCTTATATGGCGTGATGTGTCGTGACCACACGGTACAGGAGCCATGTGTGACCGGCGCTAATGGTAAGCTGTCGTCTTGTTGAAGCAGCAGCAGCTGTAGCAGCTACACTTACAGGCCTGCTGCTGTCTAATTGATGGATCATTTTGCTCTTAATTTGACCTCCTAAGGCTGGTAATGCCAGGCTGCTTCTCACTGTGTACAAGCTCTTACTGTGCTATTATACCCTTCAGAAAAAGAAAAAGAAAAAAAATATATACAGCTGCTCTTCACTGAAGAACTTGTACAATCTACTCTAAACTCTATATACAGATCTTGTAGCAGCCACATGAACCTTCTGAAGTTTCTTTGCCATAACGCTGTAGATTTAAGTGCCTCCAGGACGTGCTTGCCTTCCCCTAGATTTGGGAGTCTATGAATGACAGTATAAGAGAGAGGAAAAAAAAAAGATCCAACCGCTGAGAGAAAAATGAACTCTGTCACTCAGTCAATTCATTCAAAATGCCAATGCGCGATTGATTGTGCATCTCTTGCCCTCCGGTGCTGCTCCCCCCCATCTGATCAATATTATCATTACCCTAATTATGCTGTGGGTTAGCTTTGGGGCCCCTGTGAACTGATGGTCCCTATTAAGAGAGAGATATGCTGGCACTTGGAGGTGAGGAAAAGAGAGAGAAAGGGAGAGAAAAGGAGGAGGAGTAGGGGAGTCAGCCCTCGCCTGCTGAGAGCAGCTGGAGGAGCTTGGCAGTGGGGAGAGGGCACGACCCGGCAGGGACCACTGTGACACACCGATGGAAATTTTTTTTACAACTGCTGTCAGGCTCATTTGTATATTTTATTAAGCAGTTACAGATGCTGTGCTGTTTTTCTTTTTTTTTTTTCTTCTTCTTCTTATTTTACTGCTGCGTCTCCAGCTCAGCCGGGTGGCACTTTTACCACAGTGCTTTATGGTCAGATTATCTGTACTATCAAGGCTTTAATGATGACATGGAATGACTCGCGACGACGATCAATTATGGAACTGCGACGGAGGACAGCGTTAGCGCACTGTGGCTCTTTGATGTTTGCTTGGAGAAGGTGTTACTGTGTCACTTTTTGGCACTACGGGACTGTTTCTCTCCTCCTTCCGACACAATAACACAGACAGATCACACCTCCGAGATGAAATGCAGCGATGGAGTAATGAGCGGCAAAAGAACATATCTGAACATGCCCGAAACAATGTCTAACCCATATAATCTACGCCACTAAAATAGTATAGCTTTATTTTTTTTTTTATACATTTTTCTGTTTTGTTTTTAATATTCTCAAACCCAGTAGCTATAAATGTAAAAGGAAAAAAGAAATTAAAAAAAAAAACCCCTTTGCTCTTTTTTTTTTTTTTTTTCAACCTGAAGCTAGTATTTCTTCTTAAGTTTAACTTGTAATATTATTAGTAGTAGTTTGTAGTATTAGTATCATTAATACTATATATTACTGTTCAGAACAATAAAAATGTTTGGTCCTTTGGTCCCTTAGGGGTGAAAGATTTGCAGTTCTACTGTTGCTAATGGAAACCTCAGTGACCTCCAAGAGTCATAGTTCTGCGCTTGCTGAGAGAGACGGTGAGAGAATAAGAGAAAGAGGGAAAGAGAAAGAAAGTCTGTCAGTGGACGTATAGAATAGCTTCTTTTTTTCCACTGCTTTTTTTTTTTGATCTTCAAGTTTTAACCCTCATTTGTCCAGTACAGTAAAAGCCACAAGCGCCTCTTTCCTTATATATATATGTGTATATAATATGTATATAGAAATCTATTTGTTGTTGCTGCTTTTTTGTTTGTTAGTTTGTTGCTTAATTAACAATTCAAGTCTCAACAAGAAAAAAAGTTCTGTTGTTCAGTCTCATCACATCTTTTTTCAGTTTTTTTTTTCTTCTTCTTCTTCTTCTTCGTCTTCGTCTTTCTTTGCACTGTGCCATCTGTTACTGTTACGTCCCCCGGTGAAGCGCCTCCTCCTCCTTCCTCCTCCTCTTCTTCTTCTTCTTCTTCTTCATTTCTTTCTTTCGCATCTTCCTTTTCTGCCGTAACCTATATCTTCATAAGTAAATGCTGATATGTCTTCAAAAAATTCCTTACGTGTTGATTTTTTTTAAAACATATTTTGCTTTCAAAGAAAAAAAAGTTTAACTCCTCCGAGATATCTCTTCACGTGTCCTCTAAAACCTGGAGAGAAGAAGAAGAAGAAGAAGAAGAAGGAGGGGAGAGAAAAAAAAAGAAGGCAATTTCAAATCTCACTGCTCATTAAACTGTCAATCCACAGATCCATTTTCTTTACACTTTGGATAGTTCAATATGGCTCTATTATATCAGTGTAATGGTCTGGAGAGAGCTAACCCACGCTGGCACACCAATCAATCTTTGTCAATCACAATGATGACAGATTTTCCCATAATTAATATGCCTGCTGTGCCGCATATGAAATCAACCTCTTATAATTTCTATATTTCTGCAGGACAGCCTTTAAGGTTTGAGTCCTACATCCAGTGACTCTTAAAGCTCTTAAATTCAGACTATCTTGAGTTAACTCTTGAGCAGAAACAACAGTGAAGAGCTAAGTGTTGAAACAATGACAGCATCTTCTTTTTTCTTGTCTTTTTCTTGGGCTCACCTGTGCTGCTGCAATGAATACTGAAGGTAGGCTGTGTCAGTAAGGGCGGCTGGCATCCTTCGGTCTCTTTAGCTGGACTTTCAACCTCTTCATCCCAATCTGAAAGCCATTCATGGCTTGAATAGCTGCCTGTGCACTAGCCGGGTTGTCGAAGCTCACGAAACCTGCGAGCGAAACGAACGGGTTCATTAAGAGGATACGGCACCTGAACGAGCTTTAAGGTGAGAATTGATGCTTAAAGATGCTCTTTAATGCAAATTACTCAGTCAGAAGGTTAATCATACAGCATAAACAAATATCTCCAAGTGGCTCAATCATCATGTCCTGTCTGTCACTTTAATGAGTCTAGATGGCGTTGTTGAGGCAGGAAGAGCCTCTGGGCTGCTTAGCACCTGCTCAGCGCCGGTGACAGTCGGCCATCAAGCTGATTTTTAAAGAGAACTTTTCACTAATATGCCCACAATAGTGTTGTACACCTGGATGTTTGAGTCCATTACTCTCATAGGGGGTCACGTTCCCCATGTTGTGTCCTGTTTTTTTTTTATCTGGAAGAGATGGGATTTCAAGAGGAGCATGTCCAGAATTCTTCAGGATTAGAAGGATGCGAGTGCTGATTTTAGATAGTGTAGTAAAGTAATGTAATGTTAACTACAAATGGAAACACTGCATCGTGAGCTCAGGCATGAATATTGGCAAAAGCTGCATGTTTTACTGCATGCAGGTGCCTTCTGTAGAAATGACACAGACCAGTTGTGATCAGTCTGATCGATTACTGGTTTGGATGAAATAATGTAATTTTTGGTTTCTGACGTGAAAAATGCAAAATAAGAAATCGTCTCAGGACAAGTCATTGCATGAAGTAGTTTGATCAAAACACGAGCTCATCATTAGGCCTCACGCGGACACAAAAACCACCTCAGTGCGTCTCCACCGAGATAAATCCCTCCTCAAACCTATGCTGAACATCCTGTTTCCGTCATGTGTAAAAAATAAAGCCTTGAGAATTCAGTGACCAGAAACTGCAGTGGAGTGTGTCTCCGCTTGATGCGCTCCCCTGTGTCTGTGGTGTCATTAGGAACAGTTGATGACCCATGAAAAACAGCAGGAGCCTCTCCACGTCCACGGCCACCTGGGACTGAGTCTGCCTGGCCTGCTTGGCTCGGGTTTGGCCCATTATGGCAAAAGCTGGGCGGCGAGTGGGGAGGGAGGGAGGGAGGGGATTGAACGTGGGAGTCTGAAGAAAGTAAGGAAAGGAGGTGACCTCGTAGCCCGACATCAGGTTAACACATTTAGGATGGGAGCGGAGATGAGATGGGGAAGAAGATGCCGGCTTTGAGCTCTAAGCCCTGCGCTCGGCCCTGTCACAGATTGCACATGTGCTTTCTCTCTTTCTCCCTGTTTCCTTGTCTTTTGCACCTCATCAATCTAAGTTTATCCCCTCTTTCTCCTCTCCAGATTAATTACACCAGTGTGCTCCCTCCTTCCCCAGGCCTAACATTATGTTGTAAATGCATAGTGTATAAGTCAATACTGCAAATAGCTCTTCTTTCATGAATTTATATGTTATTAAATCCCCCCAGGGAGACGGAGCTGCTGATCAATTTTGCCCAGGGTTCTGTGGTTCCCCGAAGTGAAAACAAATGCTGATCCATAATTGTCCTTTGCCTTCTTTTCCCCTCAACCATTACCGCCTGCCTCCTCAAAGTTTTTATAAGCCCCGGGGCTGCTTGCTGTGTGTGTGTGTGTGTGTGTGTGTGTGTGTGTGTGTGCGCGCAGGCTGACGGAGCTAAATGGGACAGGAGGCGTGGAGGTGTGTGAATCAGCCTCAGCAGCGAGGGTATTGACAGATATTGGGGTTACAGAACGGTGATGAGGATGCTGATGCAGCACTTCAAGGTTTCCAGGTCACACGGCTGCCAAACAGAAACAAGGACATGCGGTCTGATCGACCTGCATCATGGCTAGTTTGGCTACAATGTACTCAGCGCATTTTTTTCTGCCTTTTTTTTTTTCTTTCTCAACAGCGCTGACGCTGAAACACAACAGTCATCAAGATGCAAATTCAGGTCAGTCTGTCAGGGGTATAAAAAAAATAAAAAATAAATAAATCATTCCAGCCTCTGTGTGTCTGTGTGCTGTCAAATGTCATCAGAGCCAACAGCATTTGAAAAAAAAATGGCATTTCTCACACACACACACACACGAGTAAACGGTTTGAAAAATAATAAATAAAAACTTCTTTTTTTTTTTTTTGTGAAAACTTGCACTAGGAAACTTCACACCTAAGCTGTGAGTTTTTGCACAACACCCACAAATGTCTGAATATTCTGGAAAAAAAAAAGTATAAGAGTTCACACTGCAAAAAAAAAAAAAAAAAAAAGGAAAAATTGTTTGTGCAAGAGTGCACTGCTGGGCATTTACTGTATTTTATTTTAAAAAGCCATTAAAATGATTTGTTTTTGCTCCCTCCTGTTTACATATTGCTCATCTGTGCCCAGGCCATCTGCATGCAGGCCTGCAAGTCATGCATCTTTCTGAACACACAAACAAATAAGCAGAAAAACAACAAAGCAACCTTAAAAAAAAACTTTAAACGATTTCTTTTTTCTAAGAAAGAGTCAGTAAAATGTACAGAAAAGGTCAAGCTGACACATCATTACATAATGTATTACTATATTACAGTCCAAGTGTGTGTCTTCATAGCTGTGTGTGTGAGTGGGTGGCAGTGACTAACTCACCAAAGCACTTGCTCTGGTTGGTCGCCCGGTCCATGAAAACCTTAGAGGAGATGACGGTGCCGAAGGGCAAAAACATCTGCATGAGTTCATTGTCTCCGAACTCCTGTGGCAGGTGGTAGATGAACAGGTTGCAACCCTCCGGACCTGGACGCACCAAAGAGAGGCGAGAGAGTGTTTTTTTGAAGGAAAGTGAACTGGAGACACAGCTGTGAATTTGTCATTTTCATCCATGCAGCTTTACATGTTGACTGAATGATGTAATAGGACGAGTGACAAAGAGCTGTCTTGGACATCTGTGACACTATCAGCCACAAAACATCACTTTTCTTAAAACGAGAGAACCTGAAAATGCTCCTTACTTGCAGAAACTGTGTGAAATTGAATTTGATAGCAATAAATATACAATAAATGGTACGCGCTTCTGTCTTTTTCTTTCACACCAAAGCTCTATTGGATAAAAAATATTCTTTTTCTGATTAAAACGCGTAAAAAAAAGTTGATTCTTCCACTTACACGATGTGCAAAACTGAGGGTTTTACTGCATCTATTGTGACCTTTAATCCTATTTTCTTGTCTGATAGTCTTTAATTGCCACTAAATGCGATTTAGCTCCAAATTACGCAGCTCAAATGCAGCCCGGGCGCGTTGTGCGTTTTGTAAAACCGTAGTAGGTGTGAATGAGAATCATCTCATTGCGAGTTACTCTGAATATCAGATAAGCTGCCCCAGTTTTCTCACAACCGTACTTTCCACATTTTCATTAATTTTGTCCATCTAGGTTGCGGCGCCACTATTCTGACATCCAGGGATTTCATTACATAAGCTTTAATTATTTCTTCTGAAAAAAAATAAAAAATAAAACACGGGCCTGTGTTGATAATGTATAACCTAGTTTCAAGATTTAACACACGCATGAATGTGTTAACATTGTTCCTTTATAAATCTATTACCTAAGACGAGACGCTGTTTTCTCAGCCATCCCACCCTATTTATCCATTACACAGAAGAAGACGCATGCATTTTCTTTTTTTTTTTTTTATGTATGCATTACACAGAATGAGGTGCGTAAAGGAAAGCAATGTCGGTCTCTCATGCTCATCTTCCCATTTCATATCCATTACAGAGGATGAGATGTGTGAAGTGTAGAAAGTAATAATGTTCTCTCACCCTCACCTTCTCTCTGCTGCTGCTGCTGGATGACCTGGGGTGGTTGGGGCAGTGTTTGGCCAATGGGAGTCAGCGTGGTGGCTGGGTAGATCGCTGCAGAGAGAGAGGAGGGGAGAAGGAAAGGAAAGGAGAGAGGAGAGAGGATCCCACAGAGAACGGTGTCAAGGATGCTTAAGGTCGATCACACAAGCACAACACGTGTAATCAAAGGCTCTGTGATGCTGTGTTCTGAGGCGCTGTCCTACACTATCTGCAGCCTGGCAGTCTCACGGTAAACACCCCGCAGTAATTGTCTCGTGGCTTCAACTCATTTAGCATTTACGACCGAGTGTTAAAAAAAAAACAACAACAACAAAAAAAAACAACTCAGGAATGCAGAACGGTAAACAAGGCTTCCTCCACCCACCCACCCGCCCACCACGTCTCTCACCTGTGTATTGCTGTACACCGGTGAAGGCTTGCTGGAGGGTGTCAGCAGCGGTGGGGCTCTGGGTGGAGTAGGGCGGCAGGCCGTTGGTGTACACCGTCTCCACGGCGGGGTGTCCGTTGGGCTGATGGGGGATGCCGGTGAATCCGTTGACGATGGGCGTGACGATGCTGGGCACGGCGGAGGTGGTGATGTTGGCTGGTGGAGAACTGAGGCCTGCTGAGGGGGGGGGGGCAAACCAACAAACAAAACAAAAGAAAAAAGGTTTACTGTTACTGGATCACTTGGTTTTGGATGCCTCTACATGATACTACAAACCCGTATTAAGATACACATAGAAATGCTTTTTTGTTTTTTTTTCATTTGGTTCTGAGAAAAGCAGCTGCACACCAACACACACACACACACACACAGACATTAAACACACAAAGCCGGTGGCCACGAGCTACACTGCATCTTCTTTCTAATGCAAGGACACGGGTGCGACGCGAGTCTGTCACATATCCGGCGTTTGTCGTGACACATCCTGCAGGATAGCTGGGGAAGTCAACCTGTGAAAAATGAGCCTGTCTGTAGTGTTTGTGCGATACCCTGCTGGCTCCTACTGCTCAAGATGATGAAACCACTATGCAACTTCTGAGAAAATGAAAAAAATAGAAAGAGATCTGGACTAGATAGAAAAGGAGATTACAGAGGGAGATTTGCTTGAACGAGCAGGTAGCAAATACACAAAGACGCCTCTCACTTTTATACATCATATAAAAAAAATAAAAAAAAAAACAAGACAAAAGAACAACAGTTGGCAGTTTGACAAATGGGTGGGTCATAACATATATGGTACATGCCTGAGAGGCAGCTGCAGAAAGGTTCATGAGTGGAATCGAAATTGGATGCTCCCCGTTCTCTTTCATTCAATGCATTTTAAAAGGACCCTCCTTTAGAAAGTGCTTCCAATTATGCCTGGGAAGTCAAAGTACCCATTCTGAGCAGAATCTCACTTTGTGATGGTCTCTCTAAAAGGGCTTCTCCATGGCAAAGCATCCAAGCTCGCTGAAGTACAGCTCCCCTGAGGACCACCTCTCAATCTGGAAACCCTCACGCTGATTGGACAGAAAGCCCAGGTTGTCACGGAAACCCTTCAGCTTGCCATATCCCCAACAATCTGGTACCTCAATAAGGAACCCCCCCCACCTCCCACCCCGTGAGTGGTTGGTTCAGATCGGGTAAACAATCACATCCAGTTTGCACGAAACATACGCTAATGCGATACTAAATATGCTGTGCATCACGTCTACTTATTCCTTGTTCTCCACCTATGATTCTACTTTTTCCTTTATTTCCTCTCCTTCTGTGTCCTCTCCTTGTCTCAGCATTTAAGCCATGAGGAGGCAGACAGTCGGGCAGGCAACTGCAGTGACCAGGGGAATTGCCCCGGTCCGGTGAGAGCCGTTGTGTCTTTTGCACTGGCTTTCTTTTTTTCTTTTTTTTTATGAAGCCTCCCCACGATTGCTTGTTTCCTGCGGAGCTGTGATGAATTAGACTGCAGCTTCAGCCCATTCTCCTACCAGGACCCAGGAGACTGCCGCTCCTATTCTGAGGGCTAGAGACAGCTAGTCTGCTCAGGCCACACGCACTCTACTGTACCACCAGATAATGCATCCTCTCCATCATCAGGCAAATTCATTTTCCGAGGCTTAGCACTGCTGTGGGAGTCCACGTATGTGCAGCGGGTTGTAGTCATAGTAGGAAACGGCAGCAGCGGTAGGAGGCGGTAATGTGGACCTCTTACATGCAATTACGTAAGGGTCAGTAGTAAAAAGAAGAAAAAAAAAACACAGAAAAGCAACAGATTGGAGTCTGAAATGTCACAGCAGGGAACCAGCAAGAGAATCATAAGTGTAATAAAGAGTGAGGAAACATTTCTACACAATAACTAAACTCAACCGAATAAAAAAAACACTGCAGTGTCTGAGTTGCTCATGAATTGAGACACAGAATGGGGATATAAGAAAAGACAATAACACCACGGCCACTAAAACAATGATTACATGGGAAAGGCATTTATGTAGGCCCAGTCATCACCTTTATCCTCGCTGCCACAATATCCAACACGAGCGGACCCTGAAAATCCCCCCCCTCCTCCTCAGTCGAAATGGGGGTGAAAGTATTCCCTACTATCCTGAACTAGAAAATAACAAGACATTTTCATTTTATACCTCAGTGGACATATAGTTCTTGCATTGCGGAGAATTGTATTCATAGCCTGTTTACAATGCACACACACACACACACGAGAGCGCAGATATACATGTGGCTGTCAGGGTGTGCGGCGTGTGTCGGCTTGTAATAATGACATGTTGTTTCCCCCCCCCCCACTCCGCCGTGGCTGAATACAAAGCTACGGGACGGCAGATTACATATTCCACACAGCCGAGCCCTTAACTATCAATATTCTTGCACTTTATTACTGCGAGGAGGAAGTCTGCACCGTTAAACACTATGTATATGTGTGTGTCACATCCATATATGTATGTTATGGCAGCAAAAAATTACATTCATATTCTTGCAGGCTTCGTCTTAGAAGAAGAGGAGGGTGGTGGAGGGGCGGGGAACTGTTGATTTGCTCCTCGCGATGATTGCCTCGTGAAAGAAGCCTTCACATGCGACAGAAGTATTTATTATGCTAATTATACATTCAAATCAACGAGGAATGCTATACCCATACTGGAGAGTGCAGTCATTACCAGCACAAGGACTGTCTTTTGCTGGAGCAAGTAATAAGCACTCAAAACAGATGCTTTCATCTAACTGATTTAAAATGTGATGCATTTAGAGTCAAAGAGAAAATGTTTGTCTGGTGTGAATAATAAATCTGGCTATGGGAAGGGCAGCGTTTTCAAAGGCCAAGAAGAAAAAAAAAAAAAAAGCGGTGTGACTTTGAATGGTGCCCTTTAGATAAGTAAATACTTCTAAAAGCAAATCAGTTGTGACGTAAAATGAATGTGCCTCCAAATGAATCCAGGAAATATAAATGCATGCAATAAATACATTTTTTTCATAATGCATGCGTTTTATCAATAGTATCATTTACAGCTGCCTCTTGGATACATAAAGCCTCTCCCCTTAAGCTTATTAAATACAGCACTTGTAGCTGCTACAACAAAGATCAATGATGTGCGCTCCACCTGCGTTTATTCTATAATTTGGGGGATTTTCTGCATGGTGGCATTAGTGCGTTAATTTGTCAAATTTTCCTCCATCGCCGCTGATGATCTTGTTAATGGTTGTGAGATTGCACTTGTAGGGTGATGACACAACTCTGCGCAGCCGTGTAACAACATCTCCGGCTTAAGTGGAAGTGAGCCTGAACAAATGACTAAATAACTACCGGGGGTGGGGGGGGGGGAAGCAAATAAATAAAAAAAAAAGTCCACGATGTGCTTTAGGAAAAGGGATTCCATCAAAGCTTGATCTGCACTTTAATGGTGAAGCAGCGTCTAGCATCTGCTGAATCACCTAATCAACATCTCCACCATGACAGGGGAGAGAGTGGAGGCTTTGAGGGGAACAGAACACGAGGATTCAGCTCACACTCTGTAGAGGAACACAGTGTTTTGGAGTGTGCTTCGCCAACAGTACGCACTTTTATCCTGCTCGACGAGTCCCAGAAAAAAAAAAAAAAGTCTTAAAAACTATTGGAAGGATCCCACCGCCGCATGTTGGCGACTGCACTGCTAGCACACACTGTAAAATGTGAAATCCTGTAAATAAAAAAACACAAAAAGATAAAAAATCTGGCCGTTAGAGTACCACAAGGACTAAATAAATAATAATAATTTTAAAAAAAAATACAAACAAAAGCTAACTGCGAACATAACGGCAAATATCTGTCAAATAATTATATTTTTTTCTGATAAATTAAATACAGTAAAACAATATATTTTTTAGAATCACACATTATAAAAGACCAAATTGCAACTTGCAGTTTTTACAGCTTTGTTTTTTTTATTTAATTAATTAATTTATTTTACAGTCAACATGTAAATTAGCACTTTTTTCCCTGTGATTTTACTAGATATTAATTAGGAGGTTAATTAGGAGGACAAATATGAGTAATTTAACAAAAAACACTATTTTTTTAAATACTTAGTATACTTTTTTTTCTTTCTATTAATGACAAACATTTGCAAAACTAATATTTTTGCAGATTTGAATACAGTAAAAAAAAAAAAAACTTGTAATTTTACAGTCAAATGTTCAAAGAATGAATCACAATTTGTAAAAAAATACAGATTTCTAATGTGGATGTGATTTACACTTTTGTCCCCTTTCTTTACAGTTAACATGTAAATTCATACTTTTTTGTCTGTAATTTTACAAGATATTAATTAAGATAGTATCTAGGAAAATATATATTTTTAATTTAACAAATCAGGGATAAACAAAACAAAAAAAACAATACTATTTTTCAGTACCTAATATACAGAATTTAGTTTTCAATCATGGCAAGCATTTATAAAATATTCTTTTTTTTTGCTGATTTAAATGGTCCGTTTTTTTTTTTTGTAATTTACGGTGAAATGTAAAAGACGGATAAAGAAAAGGAAACCATGGATATTTGGATTTTTTTCGGACATTATTTTCACATCTGGCCTTTCTTGATTAACATGTAAGTTCACTGTTTTTCTCCAACTTTTCCATGTATTATCTATAATTCAGCAAAACTCTGCAAAATAACAGTACATTTTCTAAAATAAATTACAAGTTAAACTGTTAAAAATGTCATTTTTTACAGTGTCCTCTGTGGCCAAACTAGACTGAACTCTCTCCTTCTTGCACAGAAGCTTCCTCCAAACTGCTATTCAAGTAAGAAATAGGCTCCAAAGTAATGTGTTGGACAGATAACGGCGTGCACAGACACTTCCAGACCACGCAGCCTATTTCCCTGTCACACTGCAGTGAGCCATGTGAGAAGCCAGATAAGATTTTAACTTCTAAATGTATTTAAATGTGACCTACATTCTTAATTTACCCCATTTTACAGCAACAATCATTCCGAGGCATTTGCAATTTATTATCGGCTGACATTAGACAAAGACTGTAACTTGAATCATCAACCATTAGTACTAAATACAGCAACTTTCCACATTACTAAGCCTCTAGTGCTGTCTGTTCCACTTCTGAGGCTAATATGCATGCGGTGCACTGACCATAGCAATGTGCCTGGCTTTCAGATCCCTGAGCAGGCCAGCTGGGCAGCTTGTGAAGCTCCACTGCTCGTGCAAACCTCAGTTTTACTCACACAGATCAGATCTGGTCCGGGCCGGAGCCGTGGCTCTGAGAGCACGTATCAGGTGAAGGGAAACCTCTGGCTGTCACAAGCTGCTTACTTCTGATGCAATAGGCTTAAAGTGAAACTGAATTTGAGGGATACTGGACTTTTGTGCAACTTGTGCAATTGATACCTTTTCCCTTGAAGATAACATTAATCAAAAATGTCATCTTGGAAGTCCAAAAGAAATCATTAGTTTAGATGCACAGGTGTTCGTCTCGCCAGGTGTTTCATCTTGGCTCTGAACATCGCGTTCCAAACGACTTGGATGTGACCCTTGAAGTGAATATTTGGGATTCACAGTGAGGTGCAGGTTAGTTGATACCTTCCCGTCCTCAGCATCTGTTTGTATCAGAATTAGTCCTTGAAAATAAAGTCTGTGTGACATGTAACGGGAGCCACGGAGGACAGGTGGCATTAAGAAAGATCACGATGTCAAACAGCTCATTAGTTTCCTGGTGTTTGTCACCGTGGCAGCGTTCTGCATCAGCGCTGTAGCCATGTTTGAATCCAGCAGGGATGTTGTGGCACATTCAGCGCTGGCTGTAAAGTGGGTTGTCTCTGGCTGTGGAGCATCTGCACTATATTTTGTGTAATATGCACTTGTGCATGTACGTCTTCGGCGCCGAGCAACGCCATGCAACAGAACATTAGAGCGACTTTGATTATACACTTCTCACATCCTAACAAAGCATCCTTGACACTGCGTGTTCCTCACCCCATATACCCAGCGGGATCCACATCTCTCCTCCCTCACCCTCTTTATCTCTCTCTCCTCTCTCCCCCCCCCTCTTGTTTTCTTTAACTTTTATTTCTTCCGCGGCACTCGGAGCGGCACCTGGTGAACATTATTTTCAAAAAGCATCATCATGCATCATTGTAAGGATACATGCTCTAATCAGCTGAACCATCTGGCAAACGGCTTATGCACCATCAAGCTTAAATGCTTTGCATCTGTTGATCAAATGGATGTCTCATTGTTTTCGGAGTAACACCCTTAACCTCTGAGCCTCTTTGTACTCCGGCCTGCTGTCAAACAAGGTTGTTTTTTTTTATGTTGCAGAGGTTATACTCATTTAGCCCGAGATCAGAAAGGTTTTTCATCCATTAAAACCATTATCGGAACTTTATGTTAATTCACGTGTACTCCTGAAAGGCAGCGGTGTGACTGTCAATACGGAATCGCTCTCATTTTGGAAAGGAAAGGGGACATTAACCTTTCTGCCTTTTATACTTTTGTGCACAGCTGCCAAATGTCAGAATTTATAGATTTGTTTTGAGCTCTAATTTGGTTGATGAGGCAACTAAAATGCATAAATTAAACCTCTGTCGAAGCACAGAAGCACTCTGCTCCCAGACCCTAAAAACAGATTCTGATATTACAATGAATTATTCCACTGACTCGTGGCAGACATCCTACAGTCTCTTAGTAGTGTCAGAGTCTCTTGGCCTACTTATACAGACAGCCTTGCCAGTAACGTTATGTATTCCTTCAATGAACTCTAAATAAGTCATAGCCACAAGTGTGAAAAAGGAGAGAGAATGTAGCTGTGTGTACCAAAGCAGCAAAGCTCCAACTACCATCCTGCAGCTGCTGGCAGCCACATTCGGATTAATGAATGAAGAAAGGGGGAAATAAAACATTTCAAAATTTATGATAGTCCTTGAAACTTTGTGAAAACCCTGCTTTCGCTCAAGGATTAATGCTGTATTACATGCAATAATAAAAGGTAATCAGTCAATGGGAACTTATAGAAGCATGTCTGACAGGAGATAAATGGCGGCACTTCACATTCAGACTTACAGGCACTTTTCTCTCTCTCTCTCTTTCTCTCTGTCTGTACAACATCATAAACATATTTATTCTTTGCCTATGAGCCAAAATTGTTAGTTCCTGCAATTGCCAGCTGATATGAAACTGAAATGACTCCACACAGAAGCCTTTACAGATATCTAACAAAAAAAAAAAACCTAAAATCAGCAATATTTCCTCTGGAGCCGGGCAATGATTTTTTTTTTGCTTTCGAGAGACTACAGTTCAAAAGAGATACACAAACGGCACAAACAATACAATCAGACTGGAGGACAAAGCCCTCTCACGCAAACACGCCCCCCTCGCACACGGGCTTGAGTTCCTTGCCGTACAGTTGCACTATCTTTCATCAGCACTATTGTGTTGCAAAATACAGGTATGCATGCTGAACACAAAGATCTGAATTGCAATCCTGTCAGTGCTATACCCATCAAAATAAGAGCTTCTCAGCAAGACCCAGCTCCACTTTTAATCACTGTCTCAGATTGATTATGCCCGCCCAAAAAGTGCACACTTTGCACCGAAAACATCACGGTGAATATTTGACAAATGGCTCTCCTCTCCAGATGTATCGCCCGATGTTGAAAATGATACAGCGCAGACATAAAAGCGCGAGGCATGTTCCATTATCTCGCTTTTACATGCATTTTATTTGGCCTTAGGTGGAGATTAAAGGGCTTGATTAAAGGGTTTATAAGCGTCCGGTTGCGTTTATCTGCCTTAATTCAACCCAACAAAAAAACATTTTTGTAACAGAACATGGCGGTTCTCTCCCTGGCACCTACTGGTTTAAAGTTACCAAAGACATCACCTTTAAAACTCAATACCGCTGTGTTGACAAAGCAGGTGAGCGGAGCACAACAACAAAGGCTCGGATACTGTATTATTTATTTTGGCTCGTGCTTTTTGGCGAGTTGAGAATCTTGAAGTTTCCCTCTGTCTCAAGGAAAAATGAAGCGCTGCTGAATAAGCAAATGTTATGCAGCGGATAGGTTTTTCAAAGTCCTTCCCTTTTCCTCTGTAATGTATCTGCATAGGAGGTGTTTGTTATGGAAAACAAAAACCAACTGCATGCAGATCATGTGCGAGCGCTTCAAAGCGCAAGGTCAAAATACTATGGGGAAATTAGCGCCTTATCTGTAAACTTACTTATTGATATTCCTTCTTCTGCTGCTGCTACTACAGTAACCCCAAATATTTTCAGTATTCACAAACAACATAAACATGCAAATCCCATCGAATGTATTTTTTTTTTTCCCCCTCATCTTACTCTCTCTTTCTCTCCAGAGGAATAATTTTGGATTACCAGTAAGCAGGGACTCTTTCTTTTGGCCATGCTGCAGCTCCAGTTTTTTTATTCTCACTTTGCACACACACACTTGCACGCAAATCAGCAAACAAATATTATTAAAACACAAGCTGACCCCACTGGCATGGTACGAAGACACACACACGCACACACACACACACGAGGAAAGGGAATGAAACTAAGTGCTCACCCAGGGTTTGATGAAACTCACCCGACACCGGGGTCATGGGGGTGGGTGGGAGGCTGTTGATGTTGAGCGCCCCCATCTGGTGGATCTGCGTGGCGGGGAAAGCCACGCTGGGCGTGAGGTAACCTCCGTGGCTTGCTGCCATGATGGCTGCCTGCTGCTGCATGAGCTAAAGAAGAGGGACACGGAGAGGTGGGTGGAGGAGAGGATGGTCGGAGGGAGAGGAGAGGAAGAGAGGTGAGGAGGGGAGGACGGGTGATAATGAAAAATATAGCAAGTTAGGAAGGAGTCGCACAAAAGAAGGGGAGCAGGAGAGAAACACAGCAAGGGTACAACAGAGGGAGGGATGTATGTGGAGGTTGATGGATGGATAGTGCATGGGAAGTACAGAGAAAGTAGAGCGGAATAAAAGAAAGAGAAGAAAAAAGAAGCCTGTCAACCTATGTTTAGTGAATCTGTCTATCCTCCCAGCAGGAAGCCTGTCACCAGCTGCAGAAACGATTTAATAGCTGTCTGTTGGGCTCATACAAATCAAGGCATTGACATGTGCACATTATCTCCGTGCTCAGGGAACAGGCAAAGTTTGCAGAGTTGCAATGCTTTTTTTTTTTTTCTTTTACAATTGTCAAACTTCACAATACTCGATTTGGGCTGTATAGAAATGCCACCGACAGTCTCCCACTCTGTTTTTCCCCGGACTCATCTCTAATTTTTCTGATGTATTTGTGATGATTGCTGCTTGTAGCCTGACATTCATGCGAGTTTAAAATTTGCTTTGTTTTATAATTCAGTCGGAAACCACTAGCCGTCTCTCTGGACTGCTTTTTTTTCTTTAAAAACCAAAAATAGGAGGCATTTTGCAGACATAATGCATTTGGGATTAGAACATCATTAAATGACCGCAGTTTTTTTTTTTTTTTTCTCCGCTGCAAAGTTGTTTTAGAGACACATTTCAAGCCAAACAACATCTTCTTTGGTAAGCAGAGATGTAGAGATGACACTGAATCCAAACCCTGAGTCGTTAAAAACAATATTTTGAAAGCAGGCGCAGCTTCAAACTCACATTCCAGACCATGTTAGTAATACAGTATGTTAGTCAGTAAATGGCAGTCGATTTTCACCCACTGGACAATCCTACAAAGAGATAAAATCAATAGCCTTTCATTCACTCTGCATTTCTACTTAGCATGAAGTGAGGAAGTGAGAGAGCTGGAACTATTTTCCATCAAATGCAGCCCACAGAGTGTTTATTCATATGCATAGGACATGCTCACATGCACCGCTGCTCTGAACGGCGCTCGCACACAAAGACACACTCGCGCACACACCCGTCCACACACAACATGCATGAAGAGTGATAGAGACTATTTGAGCTTCCGCACTCAGCTTAAATTCTACCCCGTGCAAACCACATGCTGAATGCTTAATTCAGAAGAAAATCCATCATTGTACAATGGCTTTTGCAGCTTGTGAACCGGTGGGTTTATCTGGGGAATCAATAATCTTTTGCGGGGCCTTATGTAGCTGCCCATCAGGCATGCAGCCCTGTGTGGTATAGGAATACAAACACAGCTGGACCAACCTTTTGCCCCCCCCCCCACCGTCGTCTCTGCATCTGTTTAATACTGCATGGCTTGTATGTGTCAGGAGAGCTGCTGATGGCCGTGGCCCCGAGACTGACTCGTATAAACAGAAATCAAACTCCTCTGCCACCGGCGCTAATGCTAATGGCGACATTGTGAGACAGTGGAGGTATAGAATGCCACTCCGCTTGTATTTGCATGTGGACCCTTGCAACGGAAAAGCCAATTATTTTCCCTCAGTGCCCCTGTCAGGTAACCTGAAAGCGGCTGTCCTGCTGCCGAGGGCCCGGCGCTGGCGTCTCATCCATTAGCCACATGCCTTGCCACCGCTATCTATTAACGCCTTTTGTCATTTGCATAATTTTATCAACGTGACAAATGGGGATCATCCATTCCTTTCCAAATAAGATGAATTGAGCCTTTAAAGGAGGGGGTATAGATGGAAACGGAACAAGAAGCTAAACAAAAGCAGTGGCACAGAAACAAACAAAGAGGTCTGGAGGTTCTGGGGCTCCCGTGCTTTGGCAACGCTGCGACTGCCCCCCTATTAGGATGTGAATGGGGTTGGACTTCAGGATGAAGGGTCTGACTGGGCTGGTATTACAGAATAAATACACTGTCACACCACTCACTGCTTCTTTTTTTTTTTTGTCTTTTCTCTGGCTTTGCTTTCACAGCACCGGGGACTTTAGTCTGATTCTAAAAAAGCCTGGAGCCTTTTCGTTGTGGATCCCGTGACCTTATACAAACTGCAGGCCTGGATGGAGTAATAACGGAGCGATAGTAAATACTGTAGCATGTCCAGAACACCATCCTTTCTCCCAAGCAAAATGTCTCAGATATTGCAATCCGTCAGATTGTCATGGATAACAACTCTGGTGTTCATTGATGCTTCGTTCCAAATTAAAATCCAGCAAATTGGAAACTCAAGCATGTAATTATGTTGGAATGCGGCGGTTAATACAAACGGGCTTTGATAAAAAATAAAATAAACTAAAGAGCAGAAAGCAGAGTGGTTATGTTGACAGAGATATTCAAAGTCATCCCATTTTACTTTTCATATGTATATGCCTTTTTCTTCTTTTTCAAAATTTCAAAGGCATTATATTCAAAAGCCATTCCCGTTCCTTTATTTATGCACTACTCCAGCAGATAGCAAATGTCTCTGGCGGAGAATGAGCACAACTGAGTCTTCATCATCACAGACACAACCCTTTTCTCCCTGTTTTTTTTTTTCTCTTTTTTTCTTCCCTCTTGGAAGACGGAAGAAGAAAAAGGCAGACAGAAACAAGGGGGACAAAAGAGAAGTGCGTGAGATGAAAGGGAGCAAAAGAAAGTTGCCCGGGCTTCCAGCAGCATTCATTTAGTGTCAGACATCTGCTTTTTTATTGCAACCTGATGGCATTACTCTCCCCTGGTGCCAGCAGGCAATCACCTCTTTATCACATGGCAATTATCTCTGTAGCGCTGCTCTGTGACTCGCTGACTCTCAGCACTGTCACATGTGACCCCTTATAGCCCAACCAGCCAGTGATGGAGGGGGAGGAGGAGGAAGAGAGAGCGCGAGAGGGTGAAAAAGGTTGAAAAAATGAGAGAGCGAAGGGGAGAACGGGTCAATGAGGTGAACTAAAAGACCGAAGACTGAAGACCGAAGCTCAAGGGCCTCATTTGTTACCACCGTGCTAGCAGGCTGTATTTCCACGGAAAGATTCTAATAGGTTTTTTTCATCTCTGATGCACTTTGTGTGTGTGTGCATGTGTGTCTAGACGCACGCAGGCTAGTCCTCGCAAGTATAATACAGTGAAATCAGGTCACGCACATGCTGCTGCTGCTTCTGCCGCTGCTGTGTACGTGTGTGGGCAGTTTACAGTACGGCCAAATGATGCAGTAATCTGTTCCCATCATTTCTCATGTGTGCCGTGTTGCAGGCGTTTGAACGTGAGTCCCTCCAACAGGGGGAGATGTTTCCTAATGTGAGTTTACAGCCATCATCCTCCCTCTCCCACCCACACACTGTCACTATTAGCACCAAGTTAAACCATTTTCTCTCCTCTCATTTATCTATCTCACACTCAGTCTAATGCATCTTTTAGGGAGGAGGGTGGAGGGGGGACGGCGAGAGAGGGCACGGTGCTGGAGGTGCCTTTAAATGCAAAAAAAAAAAAAA